ATTCTTTTTCAGGGCTGCCTTTTTAGGATTTCTAAGCACACCTGTAAACAAAAAACATTTTGCAGAGATTAATGCAATGTGTATTATGCAATGCATACCTTGAGTCTTCATTGTGCCACTATGATCTTAATTCATTCTTTTAATGAATTGTTTTCAGGAGTTCTACAAATTGGATAACGAGAGGTCTAATTAAGAACACACAAATTGAGAACTCTGTTCATAAACAAAATGATTATCTTCTTAAGAATAGTTTAATTTCTTTCATAGCCATTGGCACTGTGTCTTTCTGGAAGCTAATTTGTAAATTGAGGTTTTTTTATTGAGCAGGATTGATCTCCTGTGACTATGGAGAACATGTTTTAAATGTACAGCAATTCCTGAACATCTTGCTTAAAATAAAATTTTCTCAGATTATAAATTGCTCCTTTAGCACAAGTCTGGTCTTCATGATTCACAGACAAGACATCTGGCATCTGCTCTCCCAGGAGCATAGACAGGAAAACCTGTTGAGCTTCTCTTCACAGCCACACCAGCCTGCAGCTCCCAGCTGGCAGCCCACTGGAGCCCAGCAGTGTGAGCCTGGCTAGTACCTGGATGGGAGACCTCCTGGGAAAAACTAAGGCTGCTGCTGGAAGAGGTGTTAGTGGGGCCAGCAGGGGGCGCTCACCCTGCGGCTTGTGTGGGTCCTAATGCCCCAGTAAAGCTTATCTTATCTTACCTTATCTTATCTTAGTGACGGGGACACTGTACTGTAAAAAGACGCTGTCTCTCGAATGAGACATAAAACCAAGGTCCTGACTCTCTGTAGTCGTTAAAAATCCCAGGGCTTTTCTCGAAAAGAGTAGGGGTGTAACCCCGGTGTCCTGTCCAGATTTCCCAATGGCCCTTACCAGTCCTGGCCTCCTAATAATCCCCATCTCTGAACTGGCTTCATCACTCTGCTCTCCTCCCCACTGAGAGCTGGTGTGTGGGGAGGGGACTGGTGCACTATGGCTGTTGTCGCATCATCCAGGTGGGGGTACACACTGGTGGTGGTGGAGGGGATCCCCATTACCTGTTAATCACTTTCAGTGGAATGTCATAAAAGTGCTGTATAAGTGTAAAGAATTAATATTATAATTTGTGTTATATTAATCAGCTGAAAGTTATACCAGTTGACCTGGACCCAGTGCTGGGTGGATTAGGCTCAGTCCTCCCAGGCTGCATCAGCTTCCCAGGTGCGCAGGTTCTCTGTGGATCAGGAAACAGGGGGCTGAGCCTGCTCATGAGTTATAGTGGTGATTTATAGCAGGCGTTTGTTGATCCAAGCAGGGGGTGGGAAAGGCAAAGAATAAAGTAATTTTTACCAAATAGAAACTCATCGGTTTGTCATTTTGTGGTTAGCATTGGTCTGTAGTAACACAGTGAAGTGGGTGGAACAAATTTACCAGTCAGTTCAAAGGAATTCAGTTCATTGTAATCTTTTAACAACCTGTTAGAGAAGATAATTGAAAAAATATAGGAATTAGCCATGCTATAGCATTATTTCTTCAAACCAGACACAAATTGGTGTTTTGTCTGTCATGCTGTCAAATTTAGGACTTATTAGAAAGAACAATCTAATTTGAAAATTATGTTTTGTTTTCAAAGGCCAAGACAGCACTTTTGAGCTTGATTTTTAATGATACACATAGATAATCAATAACATTTCCTTGGCTTAGACCCACAAATCACAAAACTGGTATCTGAGTGCATATTAATGTATCTGAATGTACAGTATATGCATACTTGCACAAATCTATAAAAATAATAGAGCATAGCTTTATCTCAATAATACAGATTACACAGCAATTAACTGCTCTGTGCAAAAATAAATGAGCTGTATTTCATAAAGAGAGATTGTACTTTAACCAAACTACTTATTAATTAGAAATGTCTTGTTTAGTATTAAAACACCCATTCGTTTGTATTAAAAAATGATCCATTTTCAAATCCACTTAACTGGAGAACATGTGATTGCAGCTTTTGCTCTGGAAAGTGTAGCTTAATTTGTTTCTTTTTTTAGCAGCAAGCACTCAGAGGTTTGGAAATCTGCATGGCAGTTTAATTGGTCTTATTTCATTGCTTCTCTTCTTACCATGGAGGAATCTCCTGTATTTGTCATTTGGTCTTTTTACAGACTTGCAGGCATGCAGAGCCAAATACGCAGGTGCAAATATCGCTGTTAGCTGAGAAAATTGAGTAACCTTGGAAACCTCACCGACATGAAAAATGCCAGAATCTTCAAGGTTAATTTTTTATCTGTGTGTTCTTCTTTTTAATCCTTCAACCCTGGAGGCCAATTTTCTGACAGGATCCAGAACATTTTTTTTTTTGTGACGGTTTGAAAAGCCTTTTCACCCCTGTTGATTCGAAAGGTCACCCAGGAAAAGAATGCGCTTCACTCACAATAGGTGTACGTGCAAACCAGTTTCTCTCTAGAGACGTCCCCACTTAGGTCATTTGTTATGATCAAATGTAATTAGTGCCCCACAAAAGCAGCTCCTAAATCTCTTTGTGCAGCTTTGTTGTGTGTGTTTGTATTCTTTGCACAGAGACATTAATGGGATTATGTAGAAAAGAGTTGTGTCTCCCTGATTATTTTTATCTCAGACGTTACTGTATATAATTGCTGTTGTATCCAAGGTGACAGAGCATTTTGCTGTTCCTATGGGAATAGGGTGCTAATGAAAATGAACAAGCAATTTCTAACCAGAAGCCTTTGACTTCAGGCATCACCAGGGAGCGTGTCACTCTGTGGCAAAAAACTGCTTAATTCGGAGTTTGGCAGACAAGATTTCCATTCCTCAGTTCTCTGTTATTTCACGTCTTTCCCTTGCGATGACAGAATGGCATCCAGTTTGAAATGCATAGGCTTAAGGAGACAGAATAAAACTGAACATGTGAATAAATGCGTCGGTGAACATTATGATGATCACTGGCATGATGCAGGGCCCACTGATTGACCTCAGCACTGTGTTTCTGGACAGGCCTCCTTATAAATACTGCTGTAGCACTGGGGCCTTTTCCTCTGCAAAGAGATTGAATGTTTTCGGCGGTTATCCTTGTTTTTCACACAGTAGTTATTTATTGTCGTGTCAAACGGGTATCCCTGTGGGGTAAATAATTTAGTAACATTAGAAATATTGTTTGCCCCATGCCCCCCCCCCCCCCCCAGGAGGACTGCAATGTCAACAGGGTGGCCACAAGAGGGCGCCAAAGCAAGACTGCTTATCAGCTCACCCTCGCCTTCATGTAAACATTCCCTCCTGTCGAGTAATGGGTTAGTGAAATAGAGTGTGTCCGTTCTCACATTGGTCTAGTGAATTAATTGTATGAAAGGGTTTGGATTGGTTGCTCCTGGCAAGTAAGAGCTGTATGTTGACTGGAACAGAAACTGCTGTGAAAGAACACCAGCTTGGTTATTGTTTTACTACTTTTTACTACTCTGAGTTTGCGGTTTCATGCTGAGGAAACAAATCAGGACTCCTCCTGGCTGTGAGAGAATGGACTCTTGAAATTAGCTAAAGCTCAGTAGAGTCAACATTTTCTTTTCTGTGTATCTATGTTGCACGTTGAGTTCCATCAGTGAAGGCGAGAAGCAAGCTGGGCCTTTGATTTGCACTGGTGAGTGTTCAGGTGTGAATGTTCCCCGAGCCTCACCTGCCACTCTTACAGTCTTCCACACACGGCACCACTCCTTCCTCTCATTTGTGTCACGAGACTTGTGTGTTTTTTTCTGTGCAGTTTTTCATTTTTTTAACTTTCACAGTATTTACAGAGTGGTTGAGTTGTGATCGATTATTTTGACCTTTGAAGATTGTACAGAGATTTGTTAAATGGAAGAAAGATCTTGTCTTTTGGGATTTTTCCACAGAATAACACTATCACCCATAGGAAATAAAATAGGTTTGTGAGGCCATGTTTTGTTTTCTGATGGGAAAACATTGAACCAGTATGTTAAATACCTCTGTAGTGCTGTGTTTTTGAAGACAAATTATTTAAGAGATATTAGTAGAATGGAACTGGGTGTAATTCTGATGCTCTGTCTCAGGTACCAGAATAACTATCTCTGACGCAAAAGAAACGATGAAGAACTAGAAAGTTGAAACTTAAAATAATTATCCTTGAAGAAGAGTAGAGAAGATACACAGGGCCTTTTCACAAACTTGCGTCTGGGCTCAGCTCCTGTCACTCTCTGCAGCAGACAGATATCTAAAGATGTGTTGTACTGGTTACTGTTCCAAGGCAGAGCAACCAAGCCTTTCCATTTCAAAACTGCTGAAGCTTCGAAATATGTGTCTGAAGGACATACAGGCTGAGAGGGTTGCTATTCACATTATAACCTGTTTTGTTTGGATTTTTGAAATGAGGTCTTCTATGCGGTTTATTTTACCATTGTTTCTTTCTATTTTCATTTCGATTGATTCAGTGTCACAGTGTGCTGTCAGCTTCAGTCACTCTGCACTGCCTCTTTCACAAAGAAAGTTATCCTGGAGTGTGATGATGCACGTGCCTGCCTGAGGGTTCTTTTTTAAAAATAAGCTTCCTCCCTCAGCCCTACGGTGTGAAAACGCGGCTCTGTCGCGCTCCTGTCTGCGGGCTGTGCTGTGGTCGAGCGTGAGCCATCAGTGGAACCAGAGCCGCCGTCCCGCTGGGATTAGTGCAGCCAGTGTCAGAGCAGCTGGAAAATTGGATTTTTTTGCATCCGTAAAATATAATAACTTATTTTCATGAGATTTGATTTTTTTTTCAGTCTGAAAAGTAGACCAGACAGGTTGCTGGTTGCAGGTTTCAGTTTACTGTCCTGCTCACTGGGTACCGTGATCCCACAGACTCGTAAACGGACAGGCAGGGTCGGTCCTCCCTTGTATTTGAATGTGTGTGGAGCGCCCTGCCTTCAGAGGTCCTGGGCCAGCCAGCCAGGTGTCTTTTCAGACTTTGCTGAGCTGATCGATGTGTCTGTGTCTTTTGTTCGGTAGTGAGCAAACTGCGCGTCAGCAAGCTGGACCAGAACCTGGAGCTCCTGGAGGACAGCCGCGTCCGCCTGAACTGCTCCATCACCGCGCGGACGAGCCCCGAGTCTCAGTACACCGTGCTGTGGTACGCCAGGAAGGCGGGCGAGCCGGACGCCGAGCTCCTGCTCAAGATCAACCACAACTCGGCGTTCGAGTACGGCACGTACGCGGAGGAGGAGCGGCTGAAGAGCCGCGTGCAGTCGGAGCGCCTCTCGCCCCAGCTCTACAGCCTCACGCTGCACCAGGCCGAGCTGAGCGACAGCGGCACCTACTACTGCCGCGTGCACGAGTGGCAGCTGGACCCCAACAACGTCTGGTACCAGCTCGCCGAGGAGACGTCGGGGTTCACCGAGGTGCTGGTGAAGCAGCCAGGTAGGAGTCTGCAGGTTCAGGCGAGGCAGAGAACCACACGGCCTTGGTTTAATAAAAGAGCCGGAGAAGCTCCTGGAGAACTGAATTAGTATCTCGGGGCACAAATCGATTCTGCAGACCTCTGAGACCGTGACGTGAGTTTTGTTATTGAGATAAGGGGCAAGATGAAATGGAATTGGTTTCTGCACCAGTAACAACTACAGTTCACAACATCTACAGGCCTAAAACACTGTTTGCGGGCAGGGTTTAGAAGCACATGATCACGCATATAAAGTTGGTCTCAGTGTGGAGTCATGATTACAGCCCTGGATCTAGAACCGGAACGAGCTGTGTTCAGAGGGAGCAGTGTCTGCCAAAATAATAAAAAGAAATGTAAAAGTAATTCCCACTTCCATAGCTCTAAAAAAACAGTATTTCTCTAAACCATTTTGGAGAGTATTTTGGCTGCTCTAACTAGTACTGCTTTAACCTTTAACTGTTAGTGAAAGATACATGGACTCTGTGACAACAAAATGTTGTAATACTGTATAGCTTCCAAAATGTTGCCTTTATGTTGCTGGTCTTTTACAGCATTTAATTTGTGTCTGAATCTGCGCTGCCTGTCTCTGCACCAGCCTGTTGGGAATACAGGTTCCTCTGTGCAGTACCATTCATAGAATTATCTCATTCCTGCTACATGGGCAAAACAGGGAATCACATGAATAACAGAACAGGACCTGACCTGTTGTCCTTATCATGTTTCTAACACATCTCTCCTCTGGGCTGAGAACTGGTGCTGTATGTTGTGTTTGGGCTTCTCCAGTTCACAGTTCACAGATTCAGAGGTTGGTTAATTTTTTTTTTGCAGATGTAGAAATTGATCTTTTTGTTTTCGGAAAATCTGAAATGGCCTTTGTAGCAGTCTGTTATGCAATTATGTTACATGTTCTAGTTCAGTGTAATTAACATGCAGTGAGGAGATTTGCTAAAACATTGCGAGATAACAGACACAGTACCATAGATGTGAAGCAAGGAATTATATTTCTTTTGCTCTGAGTTATGTGGAAGAAATTATTTGGTTTTAATAAGTACTGTAGTTGACAACCGGCTGCTTCTGAAGCCTCATTTAATTCAAGAAAGCTAATTATATCAAGAAGCTTAACACAAAATATCTCATTCTATATATGCATATTTATCAGTTTCCCCTACTTCATTTATTGCTCATGAGTGTAAAAAATAAAAAGGGCCATATTTGTCTTTGAAAAAAAGGAGTATATTAAGTTTTAGAGACACAAATGTATTTTAAATACTTTTTCAGATCCTTCATAATCCATTTTTGTATATTTCAGTAGGATTTTTAACTCCCATGAGCAAATGTGGAGGTGCAAAGGTACAGTGTGTTCAAGATTGGCAATCTGTGTACAAAGGAAGAGAAATTGCACATTGGTTAGAAATAGATATTAAGGTGGAAAGCAATCTCCAGATCCTAGTTTCCAATAGTTCCCATTATAATGATTGTAAAGATGTGCTTTCTTCATGTTTTCATTTATTCAAAGCCATTCAGGTGGGTAAAAACAGGCGCCATGTTGTGTGGGAATTTGGCTGCCGAAACTCGGTTCAGGCTGGTGTTTCCACCTTCTCCTCTGTGCCCCCAGACATCCGGCTGCAGGTGGAGGAGTCCGAGTCCAACCTGACCGTGGTGGAGATGGAGGCCTTCCGCCTGGGCTGCAGCATCCCCTCCCAGTCCAGCAAGGACTCCCGCTTCTCCGTCTCCTGGTACGTCCTCCGGGCGAAGGCCGGCGCCGGCGAGGGGCCCGAGTGCATCTTCTCCATCGGCCACGACGCCGTCTTCGGCAACGGCAACTGCAGCCCCTCCGAGGGCTCCGGGCCCGGCTCCCGGCTGCAGTTCGAGCGGCCCTCCGCGGAGCTGTACAGCCTGACGGTGCAGCGCGCCGGCCTGGCCGACTCGGGCAGCTACTACTGCCACGTGGAGGAGTGGCTGCTCAACCCCAGGAACGCCTGGTACCGCCTGGCCACCAACAACTCCGGCGCGACCCTGGTCGACGTGCTTGAGCGAGGTGAGCTGGTCGCTGCCCAGCAAGCCGGGCCCCGCGGCTGTGAGACGGGGTCTGCAGGGAGCGGCCCTGCTGCGTTTCTGTCTCTCGGAACAAAATGCGAGGAAGAATGAGCCCCTGGGGGCTTCCGATTCAAGAACTCTAGTATAAATCATGTTGAAGTAGAAGAGCCATGTTTTAGTCTTTCACTGAGTGTGTTGTTTAAATCCGGACCGTGGTTGCATAGCCAGGAGTGCTCAAGAAATACTTTCTTGTCTTCTGTGCTGTCCTTAAGGGTTTGCCTTACTGTCCTGTTTGTCATTCTCATTATAAAACCTTGTTGAAAATAGCTGAAAATAGGCTGGTCTCTGTGATGACTGGAATACTGCTGTGGCCAGAGATTTCTATGATGACATTTGGTTTACTGAAAACTTGTGAGGACAATGACAGTTATCTGCTTATTCAAGCTCCCACCAGCCTGAACTTTTAAATGACTAATATTATCACAACAATAATTATTTTTTAGATTTGTAAAAATATAAATCAACAAACTGAACAGCACTTACTCCAGCAAGACCTTTACATTCTTATCTTTTTTATATCAACTCTAAACACGGTCCTTAAATGCTCTTCCCCCGTCTGATTGTGTTTTATTCTTTGCTCTGCAGTTGTGTACCTTGTCTAACGTTTCTGTTCTTCAATACTTCGCAGGTACGTCTCTGCAGTCGGTCATCTGTTCCAATGATTCTCTCTTCTACTTCGTCTTTTTTTACCCGTTTCCCATTTTCGGGATCCTCCTCATCACCATTCTCCTGGTGCGCTACAAGGCCCGCAACTCCAGCAAGAACTCGGAGGGCAAAAACGGCGCTCCGCTGCTCTGGATCAAAGAGCCGCACATCAATTACTCCCCGACCTGCCTGGATCCTCCCACACTCAGCCTCCACCCGGGCTCTGTGGAGTAAGACAGTGGGGGACCCCTGGAAGATGGGTTTGTTCGTGGACCATGAGATTAACCGTGGGCTGCAGTCGCTGGCTGCAACTGCTCTCCAGTGTCTCAACGCTCAACGTCTCCTGTCCATTCCTGTGACCTGTCAGTGAGGCTGCGCTGGTTAGAAATTAGAAGCATTGTCATGCCAAACAAGCCAAACACCAACTTCCCCACAATTCCCACAGCGTTATTTCACCCTGAGAGGTTTTGCATCCCCATTGCTTTCAAATCGGGCACCTTTCATTAACACAACGAGAAAATACTGGGGACAGGTGACACTTGCCAAATCATCGTCTTTGCATTCTTTTCATTGCTGTTAAGTGTCAGTGAGGTTTTATGTCTGGTTTCTTTTTGATTGCTTGTCATTGTTTCGGTGATTGTTTTGTGCATTGTACATATCATTGATTATTTAATTTGTTCTCCACTAACGACCACTAGAATGTGCCACTGTAAATCATCATCTGGACACAGACATGAGTGGAAAAGCGATCTGTCAGTGGGAAAACAGTGGTCTTCCACTGTACGCCTGTTAGCAGGAAAGAAACGGCACTGAAATAGAGTGGTGGTGGCCTCCACATCAACTTGGACTGGCACTGAAGTGATGTTAAAACAGTTTAGAGGGACTTGGCGGCTAATATTGGAAAAAAAGAACTTCAGCAAAAACATGGCCTGTTTCCAGTGCCAAAGAAACCATGCTTCCTTTGAACATGTGAAACTGTTCTGACTCCAAGTATAATCTGAGGTCTGCACTGGCTTAATGTTATGGGTCTACAGATGAGCAAAAACATCTTTCTTAAGCTAGAGCTTCTAAAAGCAAAAGGAGCTGAGGGTGTCGAAATATCGTCCTTTTTGTGCCAGACTGAACATTTTCACTGAACATGGGCGTGACATGAACCTCCTGAGCTGAGAGTGGGATTTGAAAAAGCAGAGACTTTTCTGAATTAAAAAATCTTTGAAATCCCTCGTGTGCTTCCTCAGAAATTTGCAGGAAGTTCAGAAGAGAAAAGGGGCTCAGACAGACTTTTTATCGGGTTTCCTGGCAATTTTATCGACCGCTGACCCTGTATATTTCTGAAACATTATGGGTATCGGTGAACGTAAAGCGGATCTTTTTTGTGAACCTGTTGTTGTATTAATCTGTGCAGCTTGAAGAGAACAAATGTTTCAGCTCATGGCAATCAACGCAGTGTGATCGCAGTGCTGATTCACCTGACAGTGTAATTGAATTTAAATTGTGAATTAAATCAAGCGAGATTCAGTGATCATTTTTTCTGAACATACGCAGAAACTAAAAATGAAATGTTGCCCATTTGGGACATTTTAGTGCCAAAAACTGGCGTACCTGTCCTAGTTGTAGACTTGCCTAATTCACTCTAGATAGACATTAGAACAGGTCAAAATTCTCTCTATGTGCTTATATGATACTGAGGAGGAAAAGAGAAAAGTTTCTAGTACACTGGGGATTTGGGGTTTCATATCAACATCACAAGCCCTGAAAAAAACAAAATGGTAAGTAAGTATTAATAATCCAAACTTTTTTAAAGGGTGTGGCATCTGTTATTTCCTTTTCTTTGGTTTGATTAGCTGTAAGAATGACTTCATGCAGTATGCCTTAAATGATACATACAGGAATAACTGTATAACTAAAAACTTCAAGCTGCGCAACAGGGCGGAACTTCTAAATTGATGGCCATTTGAAATCAGCATACAGCAGGTTAAAGTTCCGATTCAGACAACTGAAATGTTATCACCTGCATGAAAAGGTTTGTGTACTGGCATGCATAAAGAGGTTTTTGTTAATCCACCTACTCATCTACAGGGATGTGTGCTCTTCAGAGGAATAGAGCTGCATTTTCAGAGTGATGTGTAATGCAAAGACATTCTAGTGACAGACATCAAAAACCTGGAATTTAGGTTTGAAACAAGCACAAGGTCAGATATATTGAATGGTTTTTTTTGCTAGAAGCTAAGGAGATTGTTTTATCAAAACTTCAAGTTAACCGTTTCATCTGTAGTTGAGCAAGATATTTCGCAATATTTCTGCTAGGTTTTGTGAGAAAGCACAGTCATTAGCTGAGCACCAGTTGGCACACGTTGTCTGGCAACGCTGGAGTTTGTCATCATCCGGTCCTCCTCTCAGTTTAGCGTCACGAGGTCAGAACCGGCCTCTGTGCATCCTGGTGAGGGCCGGGTAAACGAATGTTCTGCATTGTGTTGGAAACCATGCCAATAAATTTGCTCTTTAGACAGTGTGGTAATGTACATTTGCTCAGAATTTTTATTTTTTATTGTATTTATTAAGTGTGATACCTAGTTAAATGTGTGGAAGCTTTATATATTACAGCTACAAAGAAGTGGATTCCGCTGCAGGATCTTACAGTTGATGTTATCTTCTTTTTCACAAAGTGAAGCAGACTAATTGTGCCATCAACACCAAATGTACCCAGTGGATTTGTCATCTAGACTCACACAGTTTGTATGGAATTCAGTGACGTAAATGGTTGGGTCATTCATGCGACACATGACCCTATGGATGTAGGTTCCTTAGAAGAACAGAATAAGATAGATGTCAAAATAGGACAAGTCAAACTTTGAACCCTTTGTGTGAGGGGTTTATTTTTTAGGTGATTCCGGTCAGCTTTATTTTTCTTCCTTTCTAACTTGTTTCAAAATGTATATGCATGATAGCAGGAACATTTTGGATGTTTCGTGATTTTTACATTCTACTTAAAATATTGCTCTGGATTGTGTTCTCTGTAGTAGGTACTGGCTTGAAAGTGGCTGTAGAAACAGTAGTGGTGTGCATTCGGTGAAGCCAGTGCTGCTTATTTACATGTTGTATTTTTATTTTTTTAAACATGATTTATTCAAACATAGTGCACTGAACTAAAAGAAAAGTACGTCGGAATATTTTGTATTTTGCTTTATTTTTATTTTCGTTGTAGCAAGTGCTTTCACAGGCAGATTGGGGGTGGGGCAATCTGAGATCTTTTCATCATTTACTGTACAAACATACAAACATTTTTAATATGCCGTGTTTCGTTTCGCTCACCGATCTAGCTGCAACTCCATGGTGAGGCTGCAAGTAATTCAGCCAGCAGTTCCTCTCATCCAGAATTTGTACAAGAAAGGTTTTGACTTTTTGAATGTGTTTTTATTTCCATAACCCTAATATTATCTTTTTTTAAATGCCTGCATCAAATAAGATGATTGTACTGTACTGTATGGCCAGGTCCTGGAAGTCACTGCCTCCTTTCTATACAGTATACAGTGCACATCCATATGCATTCCTTATTTAATTTTTAATGATTTTAACTTTATATTTCAGGTATTTTGGGCACTCATTGTGTTTCAAGTTTAAGTCTTTACTTCTGCTATTGTACTATTGGACCATGTTGGAAATAACAGAGATTGTGATGTGGCCTCCACACGCCCTGGGCGGTGCATTTCTCTGCTGTGTGAGAGCAGTGTCTTTCCTTCTCACAGCTGTAGTTTGAATTCTGCTGTTTAGCATGTATCTTGCACTGGTTCATGGTTTTATTCTGTCCACCTCTTGCAGTTGACAGCTTGAATAAATGTTCATTGTTTATTAAAGATTTGTCTTCTTTTCCCATTTGTTTTTTAATTCAGAGGATTATTTTTTTAATCTATTCCCTCTGCATGCTGGATCTACATGTCTCGTAATCCTGCTTAGTCAATAACTAACAATTCCTTTGAATTCTAAAGCACTTTTCTTGCCAAAGGATCCCGAAACACTTTATGAACTGAAGGGACACATTTCATCCACCGCCATGCCATGAGAAAATACTTCACCTATTGAATTCACAGAGAAATGTTGGAGGGGCAGATTGTGAAAATCTTAGGCAGAATTTAGGCACCATACCAGGTCAACAGTCCTGCTCTTACCAAGTAGTCAGGATCCCCGTTTAACATCTCATCTGAAGGAGAACAACATGGGACTGAGACATCTCTGCTATTTTAGATATCTTATATATCTTTTCTATATTTTTCCCTAATAAAGAAAATGAGGTATGGGAAGTATTTAGTATATTAGAATCTCTTCGCTTCTTAACCGTGTAGGTCATTTGAATTACATTTAAATACGGTGAGGTGCAAAAGTTGGGACATCTCCTCTACTCCTCACACAACAGTGGGTAAATCTAACCTCATGTGGCAGGTGACACACAACACATTTTAATTTGTCATTATTTACTGAACAAAGTTCAGCCAATGAACATTAGCCTTGAGTGAAAAAGTAAGAGCACCACACAGTCCAGTAACGGGCGGATCCCCCTTAAGCAGCAATAACTTCAAGCAAACGCTTCCTGTAAGAGTTCGTCAGTCTCGCGCTCGCCTGGGAGGAGTTCTGGGCACCTCCTCCTGCCCAACTGCTCCAGCTCAGTGATGTTTGAGGGCATTCGTTTACGCACAGCTCTCTTTCGGTTGCGCTACAGAATCTCGATGGGTCTGAGGTCTACTCTGACACAGCAGTTCTTTTTCAGCCACTCGGTTGTAGATTTGCTGCCATGTCCTGTCGCATGATCCACTTTCAGCTAAGCTTTAGCTGTCGGATAGGAGGTCTCACATTTTCTTGGATGCGCTGGTATAGAGAGGGATTCATGGTGGACTCGGTGCAGGCCCACATCACCACCCCTCCACCACCCTGCGTGATGGAGGGCATGAGGCTCTTGTGCTGACACGTGTCATGTTGTATTATGGCCCAGCAACCCCACGTTGGCCTCATCAGTCCAGAGGTCATCGTTCCAGTAGTCATGCGGTTCATTCAATTGCTGTTCTCCAAACCTAAGCCGTGTAGTAATGTTCCTTTTGGAGAGGGGGGGTTCTCCTGGCTACCCTTCCATGACAGCCGCTCTGGTTCAGTCTTTTCCTCATGGGAGAGCCATGAGCTCCGATGTTTACCATACTGACAGAGGCCTGTGGATCCCTGGGTGTCGCTTTGGGGTTCTTAGCGATCTCGAGGTCGAATTTGCTGGGGCGCCCACTCCTTGGTAGATCCTGGGCAAAGATCTTGAAAATTTGTAAATTATCTTTCTCACTGTGGAATAATGGACTTCATATTGTTTGGAAATGGCTGTATAAGCCTTCCCAGACTGATGAGCAGACATGATTCTTTCTCTGAGACTGTCACAGATATCGTTTGACCTAGGCATGATATGTTACCACACTCTTGAATTCTGCAGACCAAGCTGACAACGTTTCTGGTTATATATACAGTACAGATGGAGGCAGTTCCTGATGATCATTTGTTTAGTAGCACCTGATTCTAATTGTCCCCTTAACTGATATGGGAGCAGTAAGGCTTCAGAATGCTGGCTGGTTTTGTTTTTGTTTAATTAATAATGGCAAAGTAAAATTTGTGTGTGTTATTTGTCACGTGAGGTTACTTGTACTTTTAGGACTTGGTGAGGATTAGGAGAAGGTCAGATATGTCTTAATATGTATAGTAAAACCATAGAATCTTAAGAGGGTGTATTTTCATTTTCACATCACTGTACAGCATATGCTAAATAAGACCTCTAATTGTTTAATAATGTTACGTCTAAAAGTTGTGCTTCGTTGTGGGTTGCTGCAAAATGACTCTCAATTGATTTTGTCTCCGTGACTGAATATATGATTCACCTGTAGGTGTCACCCTTCACCCTGAACCCTTGTTTGGAAGCTACAGTAATGCACTAATAAGGTGACACTGTACTGTGGGAGGTTTCCTCCTACGTAATCGTTAAAAATCCCATGGTGCTTTTGAAAGAGTAGGGATGTTAATCCCAGTATCGTTGCTAAACTGGGTTTTTCACCCAGAAGTATCCTGTACTTCAGTTGTAGGTGAACTAGGGCATATCTTCTGTGCTTTGTTCTTTTATCATGGGGGATAAAATGTGTTTTACAATTTCAAGCAATTATTATCAACAGGAGTAGTAAATCCATTAGGCCTATGCATTTCAATAATTTTAATTTTTTTGTACACCACGTAATATTTGTGGTGAAGGTTTTGTTCCTAAAGTGAAAATGTTGCATGATAAAATCATTCTTCCTCTAAAGGTGAGATCAACAAAGTCTGACTGGTTCCAATTTACAAAAAGTAGACAAGGTTTATGTCATTCTCTTGTCTCAAGTATTTTGGGTTCAGATTGAGATATTAATGCACTTTACATGTTCTGGCATACTGCACTTAAAATTTTAGTCAGTTTGGTTTTCCTTTAAAATAGTAAGTATATGCACAAGGAATTGGTTTAAGAGTTAGCAGAAAACGTGTTTTGTAAGATGGCAAAAATAAATACTGTATTAATCTTCTATTTGACAGTTACACGTATTGTGTACTGTGATCTCAGACCTCCCAGAAAGCAAAATTGGTTGGTTGGTTCTTTCTAATGTTAAAGAATATTCGGTGAATAGAAAGATGATTAGCTATTTTACATGTTTTCATCAGGATGGATTTTTTTCCTTTCGATTTGATGTCTGTGCAGGATAAGAGCTGCGGAATGAAAACCAGTCATTCAGCCGAACTCTAATTAATAGACTTCCCTCGCCTGGCTCAGGTCAGCCTAACTGTAAGGACCTGGCTGTTCGGACTCCCCCACCACCCTTGTTTTGCAAGGAATGACCCAGGGAGCTGCTGCAGGAGTGGTTGGACCCTCTGGGGGTGAGAGATTTATATGCAGTGAGATTACGGTTTGACCTCCTCATGAGTAAAATTCTTTGAAATGAAATTCCTTGCACTTGTTCTTCTTAACAGTTCACCTAAATAGCAGTTCATTTGCAGGGATCAGTGAATTCATTTAAATGAAACCAGAGATTTTTAGATTTGGTGGGTCTTTATAGTTGGTGGTTTGACTATTTCGATCCAATTATAGAGAAAATGTGGCAGTAAGGTGGCACAGTGGTTAACATTGGTCCCTCGCAGCACTAGAGCCCTGTGTTCTGTCCTCCCACAGTGCAAAGACATACTGGAGGTTAATTGGCTTCTGGCAAAAATGGCCCTGGTGTCTCTGTCCCATGAGTGTGTGTGTGCCCTGCGATGGGCTGGCTTTCTGTCAAGGGTGTAACCCGCCTTGCAAACCATCGCTTGTCAGGATAGGCTCCAGTACCAGTGCATCTCTGAATTGGATGAAGAGGTTAGAAAATGGATGAAGAAAAATTAATTCAACTCCTACTTTAATTATAGTATGATCCCACACTACTGAGTGTGTCAGGCATCTGAATCAGCATGAAGGTCAGTCATAAGCCAGCTGAACAGTTGGCATGGAATACTGTTTGCTATAAATCATGATGAATACTAACATCACACAGTTCAGACGGTATTGGAAACTTTTTTTCCATGCAAAGCGGAATGAATCACAAATTGTATAGGTGTTGTTTTTGCTTGTTCAAAAGGTTGGTCATGGGAGCACAAAGGCCTGACTTTCCTAGTTATTTTGAGTTCCAACCCTTTACATGAAAGTCTGAATTTTTTAATCTAGCTTTTCAAATGGGTGAATGAAAACTAGATGCATTGACCTTCCGCTTGCTCAGCTCAGTTTACACACGACTTCAGCCATCTTCATGATGATGATGAGATCTGACATGTTTGACAGGTAAGGAAGCAATGAGTGGGACTCATTTTCGACAGACATGCCCGTTGGGCGACGTATATAGATGTCTTAATAATGCCCGTGTATTGGAAGAGTGAGTGAGCTTGGAAAACAAAATTAAACACCAGGAACAATCTAGTGATGCTGAAAAACTACACTGAAAAACATTTCTAGAAGGATAGATTCTAACAATGGTCTCATCTGTAGGCAAGGTCGTGCTTTGTCCTGTAATGACGTATGGATCAACACAAGAACAGACTTTTTCTAAACCTCTTTCAGTGCTGCTTACAAGTGCAGTTTATTTCTCCATTCTGCAGGATTAGCTGTTATGAGCTCAAAATCTCAGACCTAATCAAAATCTTCCTAGAAGCTCCAAGTAGGTCATAATAAGAAAATCCATTATTGCTAATTTTAAAGCCAAATACAATTTATTCTGACAATTTGTACTGTGGCTTTGATCACTTACAGAGTGACTCGGATGTGGTGTGCTTGGAGTTCATTTATCTTATGGTAGCAAGCATGTGAGCTATGGAGCTGGTAAAGCTCTTAGCTGTAAGGGTGTTTCAGTTCAAGTTACATCATCACATTATTTTTATTCACTGTGCCGGTGTTTCCCTTAAATTAAAGCCTGATTCTCTGGATTTAAAATATCACAGTCTCAAAATCAGTGACACAGTAGGTCAACTGGACAGTAAAAGGGTTGAGTCTGACTTCCCATACATGATCTTTAATGACTTGTGTTCTTATCCAATATAGGAGTCTTCTTGTAGTGATATAAGCCTTTGGAGGTTTAAAGGTGTTTTAAATCTCCTGAGTCACCTGGTTGATCTTGGCTCATCAGAGTCACACCGTACAGTCTCCTTCGGTGGCTGACCTACTGTATGTGTTTAAACAACCACTTTAGGGTGTCTTGTCTGGCTTCCTCCTCTCATATGAAATCAGCTCCCTTCCAGAGAACGAGACCAGCTGGAAGTTAAATCTGCAGTAGCTGCCGTATCACCCTGCAGC